TCCCTTGAGAAATCTTACCCATCTCTGGCTAACCAGTCACCAGATTTGTTCTTTTTCAATATTGTTTTGGCTATTCAGAGTCCCTTCCAACTCCACATGAGTTTCAGGATCAGCTTTCCCATTTCTGCAGGAAGACCAGCCAGAATTTTGGCAGGGGCTGCATGGAGAGCTGCAGGCGGCTCTGGGTGGCACTGCCACGCCCATTTGACAGAAGTGTAGGGCATCGCTCAGAAGGTGGTCCACAGACGGCCAGGATCACAATCGCCTGGGATGCTTGTTTTAAACGTCATCTCTGGGCCCCAGCCCCAAAGTCTGGTGTGGAAGGGCTGTCCTGGGCCCGGAATGTGCCATCTTAACACATCTCCCACTTGAGTCCCGGGTACTTAACAACTTTAAGAACCACTGGACCTGATCTTACTCACCTTCCCTCTGGGTTCAGCAAGGACAAGTTTCCTAGTTTGCAAATGGCCTGTGAGTGTGTAGTCTTCCGGACACCGCCTCGAGGTGTTTTGGCCCTTCCTTGACCACTGGGATTTGTTCCAGTTGACGTTTGTGAAGCAGTGTTTCCTGGGCCACCAGGGGAACCCTTTGCTGCCTTATCACACTGGGCAGGTGCCTGTCTTTTCCATACCACGTCCAACAAACCCCTCTCCTCCCAGAGGTCTGGACAGGCTGCCCATCTGACTGCCACTGGGTCCTCAGTCCAGCCGGGCAGCCCCTTGTATGTGCCTCATGCCTCTCACCATCTGCCCTCAGCCCCCTTTCCAAACCCCTCTCTCTGAGCACCTTCAGTCTCAGCCCTAGTGCCCAGCAGACCCACCACAACTCACCAAGGGGACGTGCCTTTGTGGCGCTGCCCGGCGCCAGCCCCTCGCGCCTCACGCCTCTCCCCTGCCTGTGCTCTCCCTCTGCTGGCACGCTCTTCTCTGCCCTCCTCCTGGCTCCCGGCTGGGGCAGCCTCCTCCGACCTGCCCTAGGTGCCCGCTCTCAGAGCACCTCGTTCTTCGCCTTCATGGCTCTCACCTATCGCAGTCTCATATTTCTTTGTGTGACAGTTGGGTTAGTGATGTGCCTCTCATAAGATTTTAAAGTCCAAGAGTCTCAAAAATTAACCCCTAGCACCTGGCATAGTGCCTGGCCTATAGATGCTCAAGTAAATTTTGGGTGGGTGGATCAGTGGGGGAAGGAGGCATGAGTGGGCAGATGCGTGGAGGGGAGGGTGCGAGAGTCCCTCCTGCACTGTGGTGGCAGTAAACCAGCGGGCCCGGGCTTATTGCTTCTCTTTGCTCTCAGAGGAAGGCCTGAGAAGAGTGTAGTCTATTCTAGTGGGGGCGCATATCCTTATCAGTGCATTTCAGGAAGTGAAGCAAACAAAAGAACAAATCCAGTGGTGACAGTTACCCAAAAAATCTAAATTCATAAAATAAATATAGCAGAGACCCAGTGAGGCTGCTAATGAGTCAAGTCAAGATAACAAGCCAGCGTGTAGCATTGCTGCGGGTCGACCAGGTGGAACCTGAACAGGCAGAGCAGGATTGCCCGCTCCCAGGACCCCTTGCTCTTGCTCACAGGGAATTACCCTGGGCCTGTGGGCAGCCTTCTTCTCCAGAGGAAGATGATGAAGTCATTGCCTTTAGTTCCGGTGATTGTCACTATGTCTGACCTAATGCAAAATAATGCCCGCCTATGTCCAGTGCTGCCTGGTCTGTCCTGCCCCTGCAGGCTTTGTGTCGTGACCTCGCACAGCATGAGCCCCCGGCAGGCACAGCTGGTGGGCAGATCAGGCCCCTCAGCGGAGAGGGCCGACAGCAATGTAACCCCCTGCCCACCAACTGGGCAAGCAGTTGTTTTTTCCTTTGGAAAAGAACACCAGCTCATTTCTCTTGAGGCGTCTGCACTCTCTGGCCCCTGCTCCTTGTGCTCGTGTCTGCATTTGTCAACCAGAGTGTTCTGAGCACCTGCTCTGAAAGGGTCCAGGATCCAGCAGGGCACCCCCGCCCCGTGACTGCTGGTCCAGCAGGGCACCCCCGCCCCGTGACTGCTGGTCCAGCAGGGCACCCCCGCCCCGTGACTGCTGGTCCAGCAGGGCATCCCCCTGCCCCATGACTGCTGGTCTTCCCGCAGATCCCCTGCACTTGCCTTCGAGTCACCTCTCTGGTCCTCCAGCACCACCCGGGCCAAGCCGTCCTCACCCGAGTTATCACACCAGCTTCCAGGATGGGGCCTCTGCTCTGCCCAGGCCTCCCTGGGGCCTGTCCTTACTGCTGCCTGTGTCTGCTGTGGCACTTCTGTTCAGAACCATCTAGTGGCTTCCCACCTCACTCAGCACAAAATCCCACTTCTTCCCTAAGCCTGGCTTACTGCCGTGGTCCCGCAGCCCTCCGGCCTCCCTGGTCACTCACTCACTGGGTTCCAGCCAGCCCGCCTCCTTACTGATCCCCAGCCTGCCCCCCTCCTGTTAACCGGTGTGGCTGGGGTGTCTGCACCTCACCTGACCCTCCCAGGAGAACGCAAGCTCCCAAGGGTCAATGTGTGGTTTGTTTGCAGTTGAGGTTTTCCCAGCCAAGCACAGGGCCTGGCGTGTTGGAGGTGCTCAGTGTCTATCAAACAAATGGTTGTGGCCCCAGTGAAGGTGTCCAGGAGGCAGCTGATCCGAGAGCTTGGAGGCCAGGAAGAGGAGATGGCAGAGAGCCTTGGTGGCTGAGTGACAGACCTGGGTCCAGTCAAGGCAGACCAAGAAGGCAAGGCCTGGGAACAGGCGGAACGACTGTGGGTCCAGAAGAACAGACAGCATTTGTTGGTCGCTGGTCAGTTGGGGATGGACAGCCAGACCTTAAAGTTTTGGTCACTTTCCAGTACTGCCAGTGACCAGAGGCTTGGCCCCCTCTAAGACAGTGCTGCCCTCACAGATATCAAGGCCTTGTCTGGCCGGGTTTGGGAACCCTGGGGCACAGTGAAGCTGGTCAGTGGACAGACAGCAAACAAGACATTGGAGGGGCTGCCTCTCATCTTATTAGACGTGGACAGTAAACCAGATGATGTCGAGTGTGGGCAAGGCTGGCCAAGGAGTAGGTGCAGAGCACCATTGCACCCACCCCAGGAGGCTGGCTCTGGCCCAGGTTTCCACACCTGGTTCTCACAAGGCCGGGGCAGCCACTGTTAGCCCCCCACAGGAGTGGAAAACCAACTCAGCCAGGGACATCACCTGCCCAAAGGGGCAGACAGGAGGAGTCCTCCCCTTGGACGTCAGGGCGCTGGGGTGGGCTTGGGCCAGGCCAGGTGGGCATCTCCAGATGGACACCAGGAGAGGACTCACAGAGGGCAAGGACATCACTGGAGACAGCAGGGCTTAAGTGGGGCGCTCATTCTCAGTAGCTGACTTGGTCCTGAGGCCACTGAGGGCCAGGCCTGTGCACGGCTCTGGAACCCGGGACCTAGTATGCCTCTCACGGGACCAGGTAGAAGGGCACCTTCCTGTCTCAGGCTGGGCAGGGTTGCTGGCCTCCTCACCTGCCGGTGCCAGCTTCTGGGGCCACTCACGGCAGCCCTGCACGGCCAGCCTCGCCCTTGTCCTGGCCCGGCGGTTAGGGGAGTGGAACTGAAGAGGGCGGCTGTGGGCATGGGGGGAGGCCCAGCAGCCAGCACCCAGTGCACCCAGTACCCGCCCCCGACGGCACCCCTGGGGCCGGTCCCTGCATCCTGCGCTCCCCGCTGTGACCCTGGTATGGCACTCACGACCCCAACAACACTTCTTGTGGTTTTCATTTTTGTAATTTTCAAAGTTCAACTTTATTTTGGAAAAACTTTGGACCAACAGAAAACTCACAGGCCTATTTCAATAAAAGTTACCTAGACACTTCACCCTCACTCACCCACCGTTAACGCTGCTTTCTCTTGGAGCACAAGCCGGGCACGTGTGCCTGCGGCTGCGCTTGCAAGGACCCCCAGAGGCCGGACCCTCCCCCGATCCTTAAGCTAGTGTTTCCCGGAGCTGGCCTTCCCTCTGCTCCCCCACAGCACCCGCCACCAGGCGGGGCGTGGGCACGGGCTGCTGTCGCTGCCCTTCCCAGCAGCCGCCTCCCTGCCCAGGAGCCCTGGGTGCCTCTCACGGTGCCCTCTTCTTCTCAGCACCTGGCCCATCTCCACCTCGCAATTCCTCAGGACGCGCGAGCCTCTTGTTTGGTGGGCGGTCCCTCGGTGTGGGTCTGCCTGGTGGTGCGCAGATAGCTGCCCTCAGAGGGCACCCAAGGACCTGCTACTGGACCTGGTCCGTCCATTCTGCTCCCTACCAGGCCTGCACGCATGCTGACTCCTGTGTCTGGCTGACCAGGGCTGCTACAAATGCTGACTTCAAGTCTCTGAACCTTCTGTTCCTGCTTCCAGCCCACCGGGGTCACGTTGGTGAGCGTGTGTTCCAGCCCCAATGACCAGATGCTGTGGGCACTCGACAGCAGGTGGAATGTGCACGTCCGAGCTGGGATCACCGAGGAGATGCCGGTGGGGACTGACTGGGAGCATGTGCCAGGTAGAAACGGTGAAGCACTTGGCAGCTGTCCCCTCACACGGGCTGGCCAAGCGCTGTGATCATAGGGCACTGTGGGCAGCCTGCCCCCCACACAGCCGCCACAATTTCCCACAGTGGGCTTTGTTTTGCTTCTGCTGTTCTACTGAGGCAGGCGGCAATCACACGTCTGAACTCGCAGTCGTTGTGTGAGGAGCCGGCACTGTAGAACGCCAGCCAGCCCCTGGGCCTCGGGGGTCTTTGCGGGATGGTCATTCCCAGAATGCTGGTCCCTTCCGTCCTTTGGCCTGGGGCTCTCAGCAGCCTTGCCAGCGCCGCTGACGCGTCCTTTCCCCAGGCTCCGGCTCCAGGAGCAGCACCAGGCAGTTACACCAGGATGCCCTGGGGGCGCAGCACAGTGTTCGGAGAGAGCAGGCCCACGGGAAGGGGTGGTCTGTTTGTCCGCAGCCAGGTTCTGAGGACAGACAGATGCCCTGTTTGCCTGCAGGGCTGCAGGCCTGCCAGCTGGCTCTGAGCACCAGGACTGTGTGGGCCCGCTGTCCCAATGGTGACCTTGCCCGACGGTATGGCGTCACTGACAAGCGTCCGGCCGGAGACTACTGGAAGAAGGTCCCCGGGAACGTGACATGCTTCACAGGCAGGTGCCGGGCCCGAGGCTGCACAGTTCTCCCCGGACTCCCAGGGAGGCTGGCGGGCTTTCCCAAGAGGCTGCTTCCCACAGGAGCCCGTCTCAGGGCCACACCTGAGGTGGGGTTCCCAGCAACTGGGCTCAACCAGAGTCTTCCAGGAAGAGGGCAGGGCACTGGGCCACCCGCTTTAAAGCTGGGGAAATGGAGGCATGTCCAGGGCCCACCCCCAGAAACCCAGAAAGTGCCGTCGGGACGAGGACCCGGGCTCCTGACTGCATGTGGGCCCCACCCCTGGCTGAGTGACTAACGAGTGTGTGGCTGGGTCTGTCCCTGCAGTAACCTCATCAGATGAACTGTGGGGAGTGGGGCCCCCCGGCTGCCTCCTCCAACGACTGACCAGGAGATTCAGCCACTCGCACGGTGCCCAGAGCAGCCACGCCACCGCCCCCCACCCTGAGGACCTGGGGGACGAGTGGGAGGTCATCTGAAGGGGCTCCCAGCAAAGCCGCTCCAGGGAGGAGGCTGAGATGTGTGCTGCTGGGCACAGTGGTTCCCAGGTCACTCACTCTTGGACGCGCCTCATCAGATCCTGTCCAGACACGTCCGGCCAGGTTGGACACCCACACTGGCTTTCATCCATGTTTGCTTCCATCTTATTCCAGAACCCGCAGCCTTGGCTGAGGGACATGGAGCCGTTGCTATAACAGCAGCGCCTCTGACCTCTGGCAGGTCATCTTGCAGTGGGCAGTGGCTGCTGCCAGCTGCACGCACTGCAGGTCCTCAGGCACTGCAGCTGTGCTCTGAGCACTGACCACTCCAGGCCCTCACGGGGGATGGCAGCAGGGAGCCTCCTGTGGGCAGGACCAGCAGAGCAGGTCAAGGGGCACACCCGTGAGCCCTGCACACAGCCACATTAGCAGCCCGGGGCTAAGGGAGCCAAAGGCCAATGCTCTGCAGCCACTGACTGTCCCGTGGCAGCTTCATCCCCATCCCAGGGTCCCACCACCTCCTCTCTGAGGGACCCAGGTTCCAGCATACACTCCATGCTGGACACCTCATTGAGAAACCCAGCTGTGTTTGAGAGGTGGGCGCTGAGCTGTGCTAGGGTGGGGAATGCACCTGACCACAGACACCACAGCACACTGTTGCTGCCCGCCCCCGGCAGGGCGCCTCCTGGAGAACGCACTTCAGCCGAAACAGTAAAGGCCAGTGGATGAGGTGGAAACACAGCATGTGCACCCGTGTCCAAGGTGGGGCTGGCACAGGAAGGTGCCGCCAGGCCTGGGGGACCTTAGCCACGTTAGCTAACTTAGAAATGCGTTTAGAGCGATCCTCAGCTAACACCGGTGGACGTCATAGAAATCAAGAAGCATCCTCGGGGGATGAATCTACTAATTATCGCCTTTTCTGTTTGTTGAATTACAAACCTGCATAAGATACCTCATTTGAAATCAAATCTTACAAATTTAGAAAAGAAATGTATTTTCTGAAACTAGTGGAAGGCATTTCATTCCTCCCCATGGTTTATCCTGAGCCTGCAGTGTGTCTGCTGTGGCTTCAGAAAGGGTGGGCTACCCCCTGTGCCTGTCCTCAGCACGCAAGGCAGTCGTGGGACCTGCTGGCCACCTCCGAGTGGGCAGCGGCTGATAGCCCCAGAAGGCTGAAGCTGGAGCCTGCTGTGTCAGCTCTGTGGCCACCTCAGGCACCAGGGCTTGGGGTCAGCCTGCACCACCCACGCTTCTGGCTGGCACCCGAGCCACAGCACCCCGCCGCCCAGCCACACATCCCACCCTGAGCCTACCACCCCTCCCTCCAGAGGCCGCCCCAGAGCAGGGTCCTGCCTCGGGGCTTATTTAAGCCTGCCCCTGGCCCAGGGCCTGTGCTGGGTGTCTACGTCCTGCTAAGCCAGTGTGTGCGAGAGCCCCCAGCACAGGTAAAGAACAATAAAGTATGTTCTGTGTCAGGACCTTGCCAGCCATGAGACAGAGGTTTTCCAGGCCTAAATGAGGACAAGATGCTGGTTCCAGGCCTTCCATCCCACTTCCCTGTTACAGAATCAATCTTTAAGGTTTGGTGAGAGCAGAGGCTGCCCCAGGATGGCTGCAGCTCCTCTTCTGTGAATGTTGTGCCTTGCCCGGCTGCTCTCAGAGGGCAGAGCCCTCCTGAACCCACAGGACGCTAGTGCAATTAAACCCAAGTCTAGTTTGATACTTTTAAACTACTTTTAGCTTCAGTGCTTTCTGCAGTTTTCTTTCTGGTTTTCATTCTTAGCTGTACTTTGAGAGTCAACTAGGCTTTTTCCTAAGTGGTTGAGTCTGACGTTTGAACTGTGAGAAGGTGCGCTCTGCAGCACTCTTGAGGGCTGGTGTACCTGCCGTGCTGAGAGGGACTGCCCATGGCATTTGCCAGCCCAGCCCCATTGCCAGGGCACATCGGATAGGATTTTATGACCTGGCTGGTGTCTCAGTGGACGTTCCCCAGCTTGTCCATGGGGAGTGTTCACCACGGAAGTAGAAGTAGCTCCCAGTAGCCTCTGGGTAGGACACCCTCACGTGAGGCAGGGCACAGGGCTTCTCAAGGAGGCCAAGCCGCCATAGGCAGGCTTCAGAAGGGTTCAGGCCCCTGAGTCTAAGTCTCCATCCAAAACACAAAACCACCAGAAGTGCCCTACTGGAAACTGACATGCGGAAAAAGACCATTCCTAACAGAAGCAGGACGCGCCACGTACCAGGAAACAACCTGAGCAAGAAATGCCAACTTGTGTCAAGAAGTGGCCAAGCTTTGCAGAAGACGTGGAAGAAAACTTGCATGGAGGAAGATGTGCCCACCCTTCCTAAAGAAGACCAGTATGTTGTGCACAGACGTCAGGCCTCTCCAAAGGGATGAATGGGCTTCACTAAGGTGTCAAAATCCCTCCTGGAATTTTGTTGAGGAGAGACTGGGAGAAATTAAAAATATAATGTTCATGTTCACAAACACCCCCTCAACTGTGCCAGACATGCTGCTAGGGTCTCGTTGTCACCAGGGCCCCGTGCAGTAAATACTGTTAGCCCCAGTGAGATGCAGAGAGGGTAGGTGATGGCTCAAGGTTACACAGTGAGTGTGGAGATTGGAACCAAGCTCCATGGTTCCCAGTGGTATCTGAGGCCACGTCACTGTCCCGAGAGGAAGGAACAACTGAGAATCGCCAAAACTGCGGATGACAATAAGTGAAACATGGTGCGAGCGACGGGCGGGTGATGGTGGTCGGACCAGAGAGAGCTGCGGGGGCTGGTGGGAAGGGGGCAGTGCTGGGGAGAGGCTGAGGTCACAGCGTGGGTGGGCACTGGGTAGTTACTTAGAGAAAATAAATATGAAATGGATTGAAGAATCCAAACTAGGTGGGGAAGTAGTGTCTGATTTCTGGAAATCAAAGAGGAAAATGAGCATATAGATTTTATTTCTTCAAAATGTAAAGATGCTGTAACCCTAAAACCCCACATAAAAAAACTAAAAGGGGAAATACTTACACAAATGTGACGATGTTGAATATATGCTTTAGAAACCTGTACCCCAGAAGGCAGAACCCAAGAGGCGTATGGAATGGACAGGAGGTGAAGGGGTGCCACCAGGCGGAAGCAGGTGGAGCAAAGAGGGGAGCCCCCGCTGTCTGTCCACCATCAGCCTCAACGCTTTCAAGTCCACAAACCACTTGCACACACCTGTCCTCAAGAACAAACCCTGCATCAGGGAAAACAGCACAGCCTTGTTTAGAATCGTGAAACACTAAAACGGCTGGCATTCGGGGCCACTGCTGTGCTGAAGCCACAGGCAGCGGGTAAAAGGCTTGCTGCTGGAGGAAGCGAGCTGGGCAGCCTGGTACGTGGTTTTATGGTACCAATGCTGAATGTCTTGGTTGTGGAAACGTGATTTTGTAGAGTGTATGTATAGGGAAAGAGAAAGGGGAAAAGGAAGCAATAATGCGAATGTGTTCATTGTACTCTTTTTGTGGGTTCAAGTATTTTATAATTCCAGGAGGCACACAAGGGGCAGCAAAAAACAAGGTCCCTAGACAAGCAGCTGGTTGCAGTGATTGCCTGTAGCATACATACACTTTTGGTACCTTTTGAATTTTGAGCTATGTAAATGTATTATTTATTCCAAGAATAAATAAAGTTCACATTGGAAAACAGTCCTCTCCGATACTGGCTCCTGACAGTATCAACACTAGCTGACTCACTTCACAAGATAAACACCAAAGACTTCTTAAAAATCATATTTACAAAATGATATACAATACAGGGAAATGCTTATTCTACAGTAAGCTTGAAACTGCAATTGTGTAAACGATCTGATGTAAAAAATACACATAGAAAAAACAGGAAGAAAATACAGCAAAATGCCGGCAGTGGCTGTCTTGGTGGCGGGATGTTGGCAGGGAGTCGGCCCCTTTATTGGGGAGCCACATGCTGAGGGGGAGCAGAACAGTCGCGTCTCCGGGGCAGCGCATTGGCAGGGCCCTGTCCTGGGTCTTTCTCTGCGCAGTCTGAGCCTTCTACCGTTACGCATGAATTCCACAAGTGGAAATTCCTTTTCAAAATCACTGAAGATAGAAATCTCTGTCTTCACCCTTTGATGATTGGCCTGGTGGTCACACACGTGTAGACATTTGTCAGAAGTCCTGAAACTACTCTTAGTGTGCATGTTTATTAAATGTCAGTTATGCCTCGATTGTAAAATACAGCAGGACAAAGCCCGTCAGTGTGGGGCCGGCTTCCTTGCCCGTCGCTCCCCAAGCAGGCTCAGGTCGCACAGCTTTCTCCAGCGGTGCTCATTTTCCCTCCTTCCTGCCTTCCAGGAAGCATCTTCCTTTTCAACGGGATTTGGGATAACTTGGGAAACTACTCCCAATACTATAAAGTTGGTGAAGAAATTGGGAGGGAGGGAAAGCAGAGGAGGAAAATCAAGCAATGTCCGGATGAAGTCGCATGCACAGGTCATGGCACCCCAGCCAAAGGAGGGGCAGAGTAGGCCCTGTTCCCCAGCCCCTCTGGGCTGCCTGCCCCAGGCTACCCCACCATTTGGCTATCACATGCCCTTTTCAGGTTCCAGGCACAAGGTCACAACATCTTGGGGAGGAATGGCCCAACCTCTGTCCTCCCCAGCAGGTGTCTGGGGTACAGAGACCCTGGACCCTAAGCTCTAACAGGTTGGGGCACACCAGGCCTCAGGGTGTGATGGGAGTGCAGTACTGGCCGCAGCCACGTTTTGCTTAGGAAGATTGGTGGGATGAACGACCTGACCAACCAAGCAGTGTGCTTTGCTCCAGAGGGAAGTGGGCCTTGTTCCAGGCAAGGCAGTTGTCTCTGAGAGTCCATCAAGGCCACCTGCCAAAGGCCAAGAGCTGAGTTGCTGTCTGCCACAGGGCACCTTGGCTGGGCCTGGCCAACTCCAGCCCTGCCTAGGGCTCCGTGCTCACTGCTAAGGACACATTGGGGCTGCGGCCCGGGAAACCAGTAAACCCAGTGCTGGGGCCTGCCCTTCCCCCACCTCTCCCTCTGGCCAGCAGCAGTGCCAGATAACCCAAGGCTGCTTATCTCCCCTCACCAGTCCTCCGGGCCCTCTGCTCGCACTGAAGTCTTGGGTGCCAGTGAATCATGGTGGGAGCCGTGCCAGGAGTCGGGCCCCGCCCTGGGGCTGTAGGGCTGACGCCGGCTTGGCCTCAGTTTCCTCACCTTCTGTGCGGTTCTGTGCAGTGGGAAAGCCCTTAGTTCCCGGCCCCACCTGGCCCTGCCCCCAATAGTGGGGACGTCAGGAGCTAATGCCCAGTGACACCCTCCTGCCCTCCCAGTTCTCCAAGGCATAGGGGCCAAGGGGGCCACCAGATGGACTCCAAAGTCACCCAGCTGATGGGGCAGTCCCCACAGCTACTGACTAGTCCCCAGAGCCACTTCCAGTTTGGTTCCCAAACCCAGTCACCCCGCCTGGGCCCAGACTGTCCCCTAAACCTGTGCTCAGGCTGGCCCCCCCTGCTGCGGTGCCCATGTTCCTCCTGCCTATTCCTGCCCCACACCCAGAAGCAGTGCCTCCTGCTTGCCGGACAATAGGTTCTGAGGGGCCCCCAGGGCCTGCCAGGACCCCTGCATCACCTTCCCCAGCCCAAGGCACTCAGAAGAGGTTGTCACCAAAGGGACAGCTGTGGGTCTAGAGAGGAAGTGGGGGCGGTCCAAGCCCTGGGCCAGGAGGGCAGGCCCCACTGGGGACAGAACGGGTTGGGAGGGCACAAGGGGAACGTCCAGGTCCCATCAGGTGCCTGGGGTCTCTGGGCAGAAGCTGCTGGGCTAGCAGGGTGCCAAGGGTTCCCAACCCCCAGGAGCCACTGCTACGCCAGGCCACTGCTCCACTTTCCATCTCCTCCGCGGGAAGTGCGTCCTCCACAGCGGCATCCATGGCATGGGCACCTGGAGCTGCCCCCGAGTGTAAGGGCTCAGAAAGGCCGTTTAACTGGCCCAGAACACACAGCACAGGGAGGAGCCCTCACTCCTTGGAACCTAGGATCACCTACTGGGCTGTGTACCCCTCCACTCGCCCCGCCCACTGGGGCTGTGCACCCACCCACACTTCCCAGGTAACATCCTTTTCTGAGTAGGGAGCTTGGAGATGGCCCCAAATACCTTGAAAACAGATGAGGACACTGAAGCTCAGGGCAGGGGCTTGGCTAAGATCACCCTGAAAGCAGGTGGCAGGTGCGGGCCAGAACCAGGCCTCTCAGGCAGGATCTTCCTGCTGCCTAAGCTCCTCCCACTGCCTCCCCGCTATGGCTCACCACCCCAGACTCCACCACCACCCAAAGCCTCTCTGGCCCCCAGGCATGCTGCCCTCATGGATGCTGGGAGGAGGGTGGGCAGCAGCTGCCCGCAGCCACGCGTCACCTCCTTCTAGCAGACCTTTAGCCCTCTGCTCCCGGCAGGACATTGTGGCCCTCCAGCCCAGGCCAGGGCGCGTTGAACTTCATGGCCCAGCAGAATTCCCAGGCAAGGCAGCCTGGCCATTCTCCCTGGTCCCAGGGCTCCTCAGGGCATTGACCCAGCTTTTCAGCCAGAGTCTCTTTGTCTGGAAGGATCAATGGAAGTTGCCACAGAAGTTGCCCTGGTGGCAACTTCCATTAACAAGTCTCCATCTTCAGAACCTTCCTGCAGAAACCAGCCGAGGCAGTACCCCCACAGCAGTGGTGGGGCCAGCAAGGCCCAGGGCTAGGTGCCTACTAATGGTAGGAGGAGAGCAAAGGGTGATGGGGACAAGTCAGGGTTGGGTAGACCAGCTCTGGGCGTTGAGAGGGTCACAGTGACACCCTAGGAGGGCAGGTGGCCAGTTTGGGATGGGGGAGGACCAAGAGGCCCAGCCTGTGTCAAGCCTCCCTCTCCAGCACAGCAGGTCTTCCTGCCCTCCTCCAGCCCCCTGGGTGGAGTCCAAGCCCCACAGGGGAGTTTCCAAGGCCCTGTGTACCTCCGGGGAACCCTTAGTTTCCAGGCCTTTGCACGTTACCCTGCCTGCTTGGGCGAGTCAGTCCATACCCCCGCCCCCAATTCCTTCTGCTCAGCTCAGCTGTCAGTCTCTCTGGAACACCTTCCTGCTGCCCCAAGATCAAGGCGGAGGCTGGTCCTCACCCTCCTCAGGGACCCAGCAGTGAGCTGGGAACAGGGCCTGGCTCTCAGGAGTCACATGAGCCCTCATTCCCCACCCCCTGCAGGAAGGTGGGGAGCCGAGCCCAGCTAGAATCAGAAAACCTGCAGCTTGGGGCCCACCTGACCACCCTGGCCCTGTCCCTAGGGCATGCAACAGACTAGGCAGATTCTGCTGTAGAGATCAATGTATGTAAAGTGCTGGGTACAACGCTCTGAAAAATAGTATTCTCCAAAAATCCAGTGCCCAGGGTGCCCTGTGGTCTAGCCCTTGCCCGTGAGGTCCAGTGGTTGCAGGAAGGGTGGCAGCGGCAGCTCGTCTAAGGCCTCCGGGAAGCGACCGGGAGAGATGGCGGTGACCAGCACCTGCATGGCGCGTGTGAAGAGCGAGGGCGGCGCAAGGCCCGTCAGCCACTGGAACTTGTCTTCGCCCAGCAGCCGCTGCCAGCGCGGCCGGTCGCCCAGCAGCTCTAGGCGGGCCGGGCCTGTGGCACCTGCAGGCGTGTACAGCGCCAGTAAATCGAGAAGCAGCAAGTGGCGCTGGTGAGGCTCGCCGGGTGCCCCGTTGGCAGGGGCGGTCCCTGCGTCGTGGCCCAGCTGGCGCAGCAGCAGGTCAAGCGGTGTGAGGCCACCACTGTCACGCAGGCCCGGAGAGGCACCGTGGCCAAGCAGCAGGAAGAGGCACTCAGGGCGCACCAGCTCACACGCCACGTGCAGCGACGTGCCACCGCCCTCCACGCGGCTACAGCCACGCCGGTCGAGCACCCGCGTGCGCTCCTCAGGCGGGAAGTCACAGAGGGTGCGCAGGATGTGGCGCAGGATGCCCACTCGGTTGTAGCGCACCGCCAGCGTCACGTGCGGCCCCGGCGCGGCGCAGCAGCGGAACCCGGCGCTGGGTGGCGCGAGGGCTCGCCGCGGGAAGGTGGCCAGCAGGTAGTGCGCGTACGCCTGGTGGTCGTGCACGAGCGCGTAGAGCAGCGCCTCGGAAGGCGAGTATGCGGCGGCGCGCCCACGCTCGTCCCAGTGGAAGGCCTCGCTGGCGCGCATGTCCTCTAGCAGCCACACTGGCAGCAGGTCGCGAACCGCCTGGTAGAAGGCAAATGAAGACTTGCGGCATTGCTTCTGCAACCGCGAGCGCGCCGCGCCTGCGCCCTCAGGGCCGCTGTCGGCGCCACCGCCTGGCGGCCGCGCGTCCCACGGCATGCTGGTGGGCGCGTCCCGGACTCACCACATGGCCTGGCGGTCGTCCACCTGTGGGCAGAGGGGGTGGTGGTCGGGGGCTGGGCCGAGAAGGGACTCCAGTCCACTCTTCATCCTGCCCCACCCATCAAACCGTCCGTTGCAACTCCCTTTCTCAGGCCCGGAACCAGCGCCCACATCCTTGATCTAGTCGCACCTGATCTGCCTCCCTGAAACTGTCCTGTTCTCTGGCACCTCTGCTACAGTGCCCCTCCCTGCGCTTGACCGACCAGCCCCACCCACCACCGAAGCCACATTGAAACCCTATCCTCCACCCCCTTCAGCCCGGAACCTGCAGAGTTCCCGGTCCCACTTGGGCCAGGTGCATCCACCCCCAAATAGAGAAAAGGCCAGGTAAGGGGGTAGGAAAGCTGCAGTCC